TGATGAGATTAAATTTAAAACAAAATTAAAGTTGTTTGTTTTGAGCCGAGAGCAGTTTGACAACGGAAATTTATACACTTCCATCATTAAATTTATTATCGTCCATTACAAGTACGCTGGTAGTATAATTACGGCACAATTTATTCCGCGCTCGCGGTATTAAACTTTCCATCTCTTGGGGCAATTAATGAAACTTCCACAATATCTCTGGTAAAAACGCTCTCGCTAATTGCTCGATGAAAGATTGCGTCAAACTGGTGCTTTTCTCGGCTGCAACAAATACCGAAATCAAACCGGACTGATTCATCAGTCGAATCAGTGCTGACTGACGTTTGGCAGAGAAAGAGAGGCCGGCTTAGAATACCAACAAAACCGAACGCGGTTCGTTTTCGCTCATTTAATTAAGCGAGAGAGTCGTGATTGATAGGCGCATTGTGCGTGTATCAAGCGAGCCACTCTTTGAATTAGAGAGCATTTTAAATGAGGTGGTTGTTGTGTGTGTTTTGTGCGCGGCGGCCATAACAACAAACCAGATATTGAGTTATTAAATTTTCAAATCTGATTTCCTCTTTTCTTTCTGCTGCGCGCGATGCGAGTTTCGTGCGCTGATGCTACATGAAGGTGCTTCTGGCCGCAGCCGCATAAGCAAAAGCAGCAGCGATTGATGAATTACGATGACGTGAGTGAATTTCATATGAAATGTGTAAGTCACGTCACGATTTTTATAACGAGAAATAACAAGCGATTTATCGGAGGAATGAAGAAATGACAGGGCAACTGTGTGTTTGTTATGCATATCGTCGAAACAAATTCTCAGTATGCAAAAAATAATCCAGGAATTTAGGCGCCTCCAATAATCGGTAAATTGCTTTCGCAGAACATGCCAAATTGTGGTATAATTATGTTATTTTGGCAAGTTTAAATTGCTTGGAAATGATATGCACAACAAGACGCAAAATTTATTGGAAGTATACATTATTATAAAAACGATATTAAAACAATTCAAAATGCATTATTATTTTGTATAAAAATAAAAACCTTTGAATAAAAGTTTTTATGACTTTTAAGCGGTCTCATTTAAAATTAATATTAACGCGGCTGTTATATTTTTCAAATTACAAATGTTTTAAATTTATTTTTATAATTAATAATTATTTTAATATTTTTCTATGAATTTAAAATATGTATTTTTATTCCATTGCCTTTTGATCCTTGTTAAGGACCTTAACATTAATACTATTCATTAAAAGAAATTTCAATTTGCAGTTTCTCAATGAAAGTAAAAAAAATTGAGTTAAGTAATAAAATTCCGGATTTATTCTAACTATTGAAAATAAATTAAACTTACAAAATAGGGGAATCTTCCAAATGTTAATTTTATAAAATTTTTATTTTAAATGTTATTTAAACACATGAATCAAAATATAAAACAATAAATATTTTTGCCAATCATTGGTGGTCGCGCATTATTATGAGCTGCACAGGCCCGGCCGTTCTTTGTGCCAGTTCCTTGTGTACAGGCGGAGCGGAAAAGTTGCAACCCTCAATTGAAATCAGTGGGACGTCAATCAAGCGGAAGATGAGCGACAAAGAATGGCGAAACAGTGTTAGGGGTGCTGCATTATCATGCGGCGGCGGGCGGATTGGTGATTAATTCTGCCGATTCGTCGGACAGACGCACGCAAAACGTTTCCGAAACACTTTTTATGCGCGTCGCTCCCCTTTTCGATTATTACACACCGAGAGCGCTGACAAAACTCCCTCTCTCTAGGCAGGAGAAGGATATTGTATAAAGTTTTTTTTACAAGTTCAAATCCGATGGTAACGAGAAGCTAGGCCGGCCGGCAATAAACGAAATTTCATCTCAGCTGGCAACACAGCAACACTGTGACGCACTTAATTTTTAGCTCCGCTGGAGAGGAGTGTTCAGTAAAAAAACCAAGAGATCTATGAGAACAGAGGCAGAGCGAATCGCCGGCGTGAAAGAATAATGAAAAATGATACTTGTGACAAAATAAAAAGTGAAAATAATATAAATTTATTTCTTCAAATTAAAAGCATATTTTTATTGAAAAATAAATAATTTTTTGGTTAATTAGATTTTCATTATGGATTTTTTTTAGTGAATCGTTTTGCTGCATTGATTGACAGCTATAATGACGGTGATTGGGTGCGATTGAACGGCTGGTGCTGTGAAATCACATTTCCACTGATTGAAGGCAAAAAATCCGTACTCGGAATTCCAGTTAGAGCAGATAATGGGAATTCAAACATTTCCGTCCATCGCAATATAAGATTATTATTTTTGATTGGGATGCCATAAAATGAAAACAAATTTGCAGATTTATTTACAGCTTAAATATTTAATATTTAAATATGAAGCTTGTAACTTACACTGTTTAAATTTTTTTTACTAAATTTACAATCAAAGTGGAAATGGCTTTTAATTTCTCGTTTATTGTAATTCATTTGATTGAGCTCAAGTATGGGGCCTCGAACCCAATAAACATTCTTGAAACTATAGATGCAACTCCACATCATTATTTATTTTATATTGATCTCACTAAAATGTTATTATTGCACTCAAAGTTTGAGGGAGAAATCCTTTGTGGCCATTACGCGAGGCCAGGGAAGATATTCGAAATTGTCGTCTTAGTCTCATTTTTCAAGAAAGTGTCATGCGACGCATTTGATATTTAAGCACTGCAGCAACGCAGCGGTCTCTCGCACAGGCAGCAGCGGAGGCGGCGAGTGGAATATTTGATGACAACAATCGGCGCCGTTCCCATCATTGCGATTAATTATTGACGCCGTTCTGAGTGGAGAATATTGCAGAACACATCAGGCCAACACGAGAGCGTCACGTGACCTCACTTCGAGCCAGGGGGTTTCTATTTAATTTTTAAAACTATTTTTCCCTTTTAGGCTGCAACGTGCAGTTCTTTACGCGCACACAAGACACTTTTGTCAGATTTTGAGAGAGACGCAACCCGTGGGAGAGAAAGTTTATTAAACGACCATTATATTGAGAGAGAGACGATCATGAAATAGGCAACAATAATCCAAGAGTGCCGCGCGCGACATCATAATCATCACTCTTTTCTCTGCGGCGAAATATAATTCACGCTGCTGGCCCGTTGTGTGTTGATGTTAAAATTGTATTATTTCGTGGCTTAAAAAGATAATGACGATGTTTGTAACAATGCTGCTCTCGCGCCGACAAAAATGAAATGTGATGCATCATCTCTCTCGTCGGCGCGGCGTTATTTTTTTTCCTTACACGGAAAATGTTTCGCCAAAGTATATGCTTTTAAGACTGTTCACGACAATGACACCTGTGACTCGTCCAAGAAAGAGGTGAAAAAGGAATTGATGACGAGAGACATTCAAATGCTTAAAAAAGAAAGCCAATTTCAGTCAATCAATATTCTTCAAAATCTTTGAGGAGTAAAATTGTAAATTATAACAAATTAGAAGAGATCATAATTGTTTTCCCCAATTTAATCTTAATAGTTGAATTAAATGAAGTATTAATGTATAATAGTGCAATTAAATTATATAGTTTTATTCTATATGCAGTCCTAGCAAGTGGTTCAAATGATGAAAGAAGATTGAAACGTTTAAATTATTTTAATATATTACAGCTCATGATAAATTCATATGGCAACAAGAATATATTTTTTTCTATAATATTTTCTTAAAAAAAAAAACATGTTTTCAAGAGGGAGATTTATAGGAAAGATTATTAATAGAATAACAAAAGATTAAAATTTTTTATGAAATTATTTAAATAAAATCCTTTTTACAAAAATATAGAATATATGTGTAAGAAAATTAAATTAAATTGTATTTAAAAGAAATTCATTTTAAATGAAGCATTGCACCAGATGAGAGGCCTTGCCGCATTATGCACACGGCGCGCAATTATGCTGAAGAACGTGTATGTGCATCGGATGTGTGTATGGCAGAGTATAATATTGCACCGCCTAGCCGTGTTATTAACCGAGGGAATATAATGGCTCGAACCAATCTAGTGTGCTAAAACAATGATGGCACCAGTCGAGCCCCGCACCGATTTATACCTCTCTCTCTCTACACACATATGAATGCACGTCGTACTGCAGCTCTCCGAATGTGCACCGCTGCAGAGATTGCCAGCTGTTGTTGTACGGAATGCATATTCAGTCGGTGCACAATGGCGCGCGGAGTGTTTTGATCTGCAAATGCAGCCATCGAGGTGTTCACAGGGCACCTAATTCGTGGCCTGCAGACCTGCTGATTGCTGCGTTCACCTGAGAAATGTCACAGCAGTTGCTCCCAATCGTTCACTTTTTAATCGAAGACACAAGATAATGTTGAAATAAAAAAAATATTGAGTATGGAAATCACTTCATAAAGCAATCTTGAATTTTTTTACAATAAATTAATCGATAAAATGTTTAGCTAAAATGGTTTGAAGTACAAAGCTGCTGGAGTCAACGAGTTTTAATTAATATCATTGGAGAGATTCGGTGAGATTTGATAAGATTTATTTTTAAACTAAAATACAATTTGCCGAAAAAAATTATCTAAAATTTATTTTTAGTGTTTATTTTTCATATTTTAAGGTTCTGAAATTTTCCTGTTGAAAATTGTTAGGAAACAAGCCTTAAAAACGTGAAAGATTCATAGACAATAATTTCTTTCCATATGCATCTTTTTCTTTGTCAGCCGCCAAGCGATTTGCATACAATAGCCTGGCTGACGGTTTAAGCCGCGAAAGGTGCATTTTCACGAATATTCAGTCTCAACAAAAGCGCGCACCGCCTTGTCGTCGGTAATTAACGCTAAGAGGGTCAACCCCTGCTGCCTTTGTGTCTGTGAACGCTGAAAAGGAATAGAATGGAGGAGCTAAGCCTAGTGAGAAGCGCGGTCAAGGCGCTCCATTTTTGCTCCAGCGAATTCGCAAAGAGCACGAAGCAAACGTGCACGAAGAGATAAAGCAAAATCACTGCACTCACCCAATGTGGCTGTGTGTTGATTTCTCCTCCACCGTCGGCTGGATCCAAGCTCTGAAATCGCAAATGGTGCAAATGTGGAAATTTAGTTGAAATAATTGAAATGAATGAAATCGTAATTAATTATTTTAGAGCTTTTTTCATTTTTAAAAATAAATTCAATTCCAATTTTAGCTTCTGTGATTGCGAGTTAATTAATTATATATAATTAAAGAGTCAATCAATTAAAGCCGGTCAAACAGTCACAGCGGGAAAGGCAATTGACACCCATTGAAAAATGCCAATGACGACCGCCACATATCAATCCATCCGAAGTAATTATAATTGTACTGATGATGCTGTACTCACTTCTTTTTTCCGTTTGGCGACACCTGAAACAAAAGAAAAATTAATTAGTTTGTAACTCGTCATTAATCAGTGTCGGGTGGAGGTGCGAAATAAATAAATACGGCCGCCGGGCATTTTCTCATTAGCGCACTTCGATCATCATCACATCGCCTCATTGAAAATAATAACGCGCGCGAAATAATAGCCGCGGAGGACAAAATGCCCAGAACTTGATTGAAAGGTTTGCCGAGCCATTGAGAGCGCCGGCGGCGGCGAAATGAAATTTGCAGCTAATAACACCAGTGGCGCACACACACGGTCGATAATCCAATAACTAATTATATGCATAGTGCGTCGGTGTGCAGAGCGTTCGGGCTGAGCGACGACCAAGATGCTGTTCTGAATCTTTCCTAATGAATTGTCGTCCACTGAATAGGGTTGCGGAACGGAAACTTATAAAAAGTTTTATTTTTTAAATCCAATGAATACAAAATAATGTATTTTAATACTCATTCCTATTTCATTTTAACAATATGTTTATCATTATTATTTAGAATAATTTTTATCACATTGGAGGATTTGAAATGTTCAATATGGTATAATATGTATAACAATTGGAAGTCCAGATTGGAGCAACCCAATGAGAAAAAATTGTCCAAATTGAAGTTAATATAATTAAATTATAAATCAAAATGTGGTTTTCAACGCTGGAGCAAGTTTTTTTTTTAAATATTTTGACATAAAGTTGACTCTCTTAATTCAAATACTTAATAATTTCATTTTTTACATTTTAACATTCTTTTTTTATTATTTGACCTTTTATAAAAAATTTTACCATGATCAAGATTCAAAATTATTGCAGCTTTACTAAAATACTATACGACCTTCCATTACGAGATTATTGATTACTTTTTTTTATTCAATAGAGAATGCAGTTTGATTAAGTTCCACCGCCCTCAGCCGTCCGCCTCGTCAGTCTCATCACCATATAATGACGAGAGACAGGGGCCGGAGTGCGTCTGCTCTCTGCAAGAGCGCATTCTAATTTATGTGTACGCGCGCCGCACAATGGAGGGCCAAATCACATTATGCCCCCAGCCCGCGTGCCGTCGATCGAAAACGCTGCTCAGTTGGTCCGATTGTGCATCTCTCGAGCATTATCATCGCGCGGGCTTTTTCTCGGTGATTAATGCGGCAGGTGGAACTTGTGACGGCCGAGCCAGCAAAGGCAGCCGTTCTCTAGCTGAAAGGGCCTTTTAGTTTTCACGACCGAGAGGTCACCTCTGACTGACAATTTCTGAAAGTGGCATTTTTCACGCACAGAGAGATGACTTATGCATATCCGAGAAAAATGAAAAACAAGAAGCTCATTAGGAATTGTCAAGCCGCGCTCAGCTGGACGCAAAAGCAGCGTTTTAATGCGATAAGTGTTTTTTTCATTCAAGCCGAGATTGTAAATTATCCATGAGCAAGATGCAGCGGTGGATCCCATTTCGGATTCAGACACACGTTGCTTTAAAATTGAGAGGTGAATTTTTCATGTAAATAAATTTGAATTATTTATGTTTCATAAATTTCAACGTTTTTTTGTGCGAACTGTTTTTCAAATAACAACACATTAAATTGAAAAAAAAATTAAAGTGACAAAACAAAATTTTAAATTTGTAACACAAAGGATTTATTTTATAATGGTAATTTATTTTTAGGATGCCTATTTTTTAGATATGTATTCTGATGTACGAAATGAAAGTTGATACAAGATATTTAATTTAAAATTATCAAAAATGAAGCAGTTTTAGAGGACGACTGCTGTGAAAAATCGAGCTCAAAGCCATCTGATTTCTTTTTAATTAAGACGTATTATTTTGGGCCGAACAAAAAAGCACCGGAATTTTCTTCCTCCCGGTCCAACGCAACATTATAGCGTTTTTGTCAAGTCGCTCGCCATCATTGCTAATTAAACAAAGTGGATCAAGGTGGATTTTTGAGGCGAGTTTTTGCGGTCTTGTGTATACATGTGAGCTGCGGAGAGGAGGAATGAATGTCAACCACCTCGAGCCACCGACCGGCCGAGGAAAAAACAAACCGTGTAAAGTAAAGGGGAGATAGATACAGCACACACACGTCTTCTCTCAGTCAGACTTCTTTAGGCGCAGCGGCTCGCAAGTCGCACCTGCCCGCGCGCGAACAGCTGCCCTCCCAGGCCCCCATTTTATTATTATTATTTGAGATCGGTGCCTGCCTGCGAGTTCTGGCGCGCGCCGGCACCTGTTGACTTGACTGATTCTTGTATTTATTATGCGCCCAAGCTCTGGCTGGCTGCTGCTGGACCTCACTCTCCACTCGATTTGCATGCGAAAAATGCCGCCGCAATTCGCATTGCCAATGAGATGGATACACAATTGCACACCGCCAAAGTGTGCGACACTCGCTTCAATAGGTCTTTTTACTTTTGAAAATTTGCTTTACAACTGTTTAACTTGAATGAGTAATCAGTGAACAAGTAATGATTACATAATGCTAGTAATGTCGCAAATTTCATTAAATAATTGGAGTATGTTGAAAGTTTAAATCATATTATACGAAATAATAAATATTAATTACAAACTTTTTGCCTATAATAATACATGAAACATGTTAATTTGATTTATTTGCATATGTACAGAATTAATTAATATACTTCATTATTGCTTTATTTTCTTTACTCTTTTATTACTATGTCGTAAAAAAACTAAATAACGTTGTAGAATCAATGAATAATAAAAATAATAAAATATTAATAATAATTAAAAAATATTCATTTTAAACACAATTTAATATATAAATTTATAATATATATTTTAAATGTTTGGGAAAGTTCATTCAATTTTCAGTAAATTCTATTATTCTGAAGCCTTTTACGTGCAATTACATTCCGAGACAAGAGATACTGAGACAAAACCAGTGAAAAAAAGTTCCTGTTGTGATAGTCCAAAAATATCAATTGAGATTGGGGTGGTTTTAAAAAGTATTAATTTTTGGAAATTTTCGCCCTCGTTTAATATTTTTTTGTTATCACAACAGGAACTTTTTACACTGGTTTTGTCTCAGTATCTCGTGTCTTAGAACGTAAATGCACGTAAAAGGCGTTTAGTCAGAAGTTACTAATTTATTTATTTCCCGTTTCGAGTGGTTTATTTGGGTTTTAAATTCTCAAAAATCTATTATTCTGCTATGGAAAACAACTTTGAATTGATATAATAATAAATGAAATTAATTCATGAAAAAATATAGGTAAATACACAAGCAAAATTATTTATATATAGGGAGAAAAAATTAAGAAGCTTCCTTTCATGACTTTCATTTTTTTTTTTTTAAGTAATTTACTTTTCAGAGATATATAAATTCTTTTGAATTGATAGAAATTAGATAAATCTGCAAAAAAACGTCATGAATTGGGCAGATATTTTATTGCGGCAAAAAAAAATCATCTGATCAATTATTTATATTTATCATAATTTTGCAATGAAATTAGGAATAAATTTTATTTAACATTAAAAAATCGGCATGATTTTAATACTTGGCATCGCCTTAAATTCCTTTCGCATCTTAAATTGATGGCACCAGTATGAGCTTCGGGTGAGGTCATTCACTTTTGGAAGAGGCACGCGTTTGAAAACAAAAAGGCAGGTGTTACCCCGCGTGCCACCGAGTTTGGCGAAAATTTTGATTTGGGCTGCGAAAGAGCAAAAGGAGAGGATTAAAGACGCCGTCGGGCAGCTTCTTTTAGTTTTCGCCTCTTGGAAACGCGCTTCATCAAAGACCGCGTGATTGTATAAATTGTTCCATTTATTATACACCATGATTTTTTTTTTAATCTGAATTCAAGGAGTCTCGCGCGTGCTTTTCGCTTTTGCTCGGCCGCGCGGAGATTGCGCAAAAATAGAATTTTTAATGCACTGGGCGGGAGAAACAGCTCAATCAGCTTTTTGGCAGCGCAGGTGAATCCGCGCCCGCCGATTACGAAAATGAGACGCCTAATTTATTGCTTGTGAAAGTTTGGTCATATTAACACTCGGGTTAAATGCAGCAAAGAAAGGACATTTAAATTCAAGCCAGCAAGAGCCAATAAAGACGAAAAAAAACGATAACGAGCGGCCAGGCAGGTGCTTCCTTTCTTCCTGCGAATTTTGCACCTTGCGAAGATTGACCCAATTTTCAGGCAGCAGGTCGAACGCCTTGAAAGTTTCATTTCGCAACATTCTTTAACAAAACCTGCATGAATTGTTAAATAATGAATTAACTGCAAGAAATACCTCGACAAAATTAAAATTGTTGATTAAAAAGTTTCTATTAATTGAAGACTTTTCACCAATAGCGAATATTTTGTAATAGTTTATAATTACATTTCTCAATAATAATAATTAAAAATATTTTAATAATTCCATATGAAATTTTACCAAGGTCAAACAACAGCAATAATTTTTTTATATGCGTTCTCGTAAAAGTTGTAGAGCTGAAATTAAACTTCTATATTTTCAAGCTGAATAAAAACGCTGCAGAGGAATTTTATATTATTATTATTTGATCGCCTTCTCGCCGCCTTGGCAGTTTATGTGCGGAAGGCGAAGATTATTTTGTATTTACAGCGGGTCGGCGAGCTGCATACCATCGCTGATAATGGCTTGTAAAATTCGAATGGATGCAGGCTCTGCATTCAGAGACAGATCCGGCTGGAATCGTAAATAGGAGGCGGCAGGTGTTGCAGCGCAAAAGTGCATGAGGTGCATGTAAACTCTTTTATTATTCGCGAGCTTCTCTCCAAAGCTGCTGGTATGGAAGGAAAGGCTGCAGAAAAATAACGTCGGAATCTCTGGCTTTTGAAGCAAAGAAACAGGCGAGATCAGTAATGAAAATGATCATATCGAAGTAATATAAAATTATATTTCCAAAAGCACAACTTATAAACACTGAACTTCGGAATGTATCAACTTAAAAGCGAAATTTTAACCTTTATTTTCTTACATCATAAACATTTAAAAAGAAAATACTTCATCACAAAAAT